GCTGAGACTGAGCTCCCGGGAAGGAAGTGAAGGAGGGAGCAGAGCAGACTCATCACTGCTTAGGGAGCCTGGTTTGCAGGGCTGCAGTTCCCTAGCTGCTGGCTGAGGCCGAAAGAGTGAAACAGCCCCAGGAGGGAAGGGCAGGCAGCTGCCACGGGCTTGGGGATGGACCTGGCCACCTGTGAGCTCTGTGGAGCTCACGGAACTGCAGTGATGTGGGGTTTGCTCCTTTAGGCATTGTTCCGTACCTCTGGGAAGTTTTCTTTAGTAATAACCTTTTATAGTCATTTTGAATGGGTAATTGGCAATTTTGGCTTGGCTACAATAGGTAAGACCTATAAGGATTAATTGGAAGTTTAATCTACTAAGTGGACATTAATGATTGAAATCCAGCTTCCCTGAGCCCAAATTATTAGGAAACAGGGCTCAAGAGGCCCATGTCTCAGGCTGTTTGAGCTCTTGGAATCCTAGTAAGGCTCTTGAGCCTCTTTATTCTCTTGAAGAAGAGATACTTTTTCAACTGATAAGATTTAAAAAATTATAGGTGTAGTTCTGACACCTAGACACCCTGCGGAAGTGTCACCAGGTTTACAGGGGCCCTGGGATTTCCCTGATTTCGAGCAGGCAGGCATCCAGGCTGGACTGTGGGAGCTCTCCTCTGCTCCCTTTGGACTCCAGGTGGGAGCGCAGGTTCCCGCGCTATGTCCATGGCCAGGGCCAGCCTGTGGTTCTCCTTTGCCAGACTCTTCCTTGGCACCCAACTTAAATCCTCCTGCCCTTGATTTGGGCCCATTGCTTTTCATTTCTTTTCCCGTCTTTGTTTAATTTTAATTTAATTTTCTTTTCCAAATTCATTTTATTTCAAGGAAAAAAAGAAAAAACTAAAACAAGATTTCAAAACATGTCAATCAGGGGCAACAATGCTATATAATTTGGGCATTTTCATCCCCACATCATTCACCCAGAACACAGGACATCTGCATTCAATTGTCCAAATGATGCCAGCACAAATTTTTTTCTTCAGTGAACTCTGAAAAGATAGTATAACTATCTTAACTATCTTTTATATATATATATATATATATATATATATATGCATATATGTATGTTGTTTCTTTCAGCTTCTCACACTAGTGAGATAATATGATGCTTGTTTACACATGTGTCTGATCTATTTCACTTATGATTATGAGCTCAAGTTGCATCTATTTACCTATAAAAGTCTCCAGTTTGGGCTGGGGATTTAGCTCAGTGTAAGCACCTGCCTGACAATCACAAGGTCACGAGTTCAATCTCTGGTACCCTCCGAAAAAGTTTTCTTGAAAAGTCTCCAGTTTATCCTTTTAATGGCTGAGTAGTACTTTATTGTATATAAATAGCACATCTTTTTCATCCATTCCTCAGTCAGTGGGCACTTAGATTGTTTCCAAGATCTAGCTAGTACAAATTGTGCTGCTATAAACATGGGTGCACATATATTGCTTTGGTGTGGTGTTTTTTAATTCTTTTGGGAAGATACCCAGAAGGGGAACACCTGGGTTGAATAGGACTTCTAGTCCTAGTTTTTTGAGGAATCTCCACACTGATTTCCACAGTGGTTATAGCAGTCTGCATTCCCACCAACAGTGGAGAGGGGTTCCTTTTTCCCCAAGGCTCCTCCAGCATCGGTTGTTGATTGATTTCTTGATAATAGCCATGTTTTTCTGGAGTGAGGTGGAATCTCAGTGTTGTTTTAATTTGCATCTCTAAAATGACCAGTGATACTGAACATTTTTCACATATTGATTTGCAGTTTATATTTCTTCATCTGAGAAGTGTGTATTCATCTCAAGTGCTCATTTTTGGGTTGAGTCTTTAAATCTGGAGGGACTGACTGTTTTGAGTTCTTTATATGTTCTCAGTAGTGATCTTTTGAGGAACAGCTAGCAAACATTTTCTACCACACTGTGTGTTGTCTTTTAACTCTGTTAGTGGTTTCTCTTGCTATACAAAAGCTTTTCAGTAGGCTGAGATCCCAGTTGTTGATTCTTTGTGATAGTTCCTGTGCAATCTGGGTTTTGTTCATAAAATCTACCTACACCAGTGTCTTCAAGAGTTTTACCTACTCTATCTTCCAGCATATTTGATGCTTCTGTTTTAATATTAAGATACTTATCCATTCAGAATTTATCTTAGTGCATAGTGAAAGATATGAGTCCAGTTTTAATCTTCAGCATGTGTAGAGCCAGTTTTTCCAGCACAGTTTATTAAAGAGGCTATCTTCCTTCCAGTGAATGTATTTGACACCTTTGTCAAATAAGGTGGCTTAGTGAGTCTGGAGTTGTTTCTGCATCTGCTAATTGGTTTCACTGATTTTTGGGTCTGTTTTTTTGACCAGGACTATATTGTTTTTATCACAGCAGCTTTATACTAGAATTTCAAGTCAGGGATTGTGATACTTGCTGTCTTATCTTTGTTGCCCAGGATTGCCTTTACTATTCTAGGTCTCTTTTGGTTTCAGATGAATTTTAAGGTTGTTTTTTTCTATTTCTGTGAGATTAGATTGGGACTGCACTGAATCATTATAACAGTTTTGGAAGTATGGCCATTTTCATTATATTGGTTTTTTCTACCCAAGAGCACAGGGTATCTCTCCATTTTCTAATCTCCTTTTTCAGAGTACTGTAGTTTTCAATGTAGAGGTCTTTTACATCTTTCATTAGATTGATTCCTAGGTATTTCATTTTTGGGGGGGGGATGCTGTTGGAAAGGTGTTGTTTCCCTGATTTCTCTCTCAGAGAGTTTTTATTTGTGTATAGGAAGACTATTGATTTTTGAGTGTTGACTTTGTATGCAGCTATGTTACTAAATTTGCTCATTAAAGTAGTTGTGGTTAAATGTAGTGGAGTTTTTGGGGTCTTCAATGTAGAGCATCATGTCACCTGCAACTAACAATAGTTTATACATTATGAAGTCACGACCTAGTGCTTGCCAGACAGATGCTTACGCTGCTGAACCAAATCCCCAACCCCAAATAACAATAGTTTAACTTCTTTTCTTATCTTTATTCCTTTTATTTCTTTCTCTTGTCTAATTGCTCCAGCTAAAAGTTTCCAGGACTATGTTGAAGGACTAAGAGTGCAGACAGTGGACATCCTTGTCTTGTTTCTGATTTTAGAGAGAGAGTTTTCAGTTTTTGTCCATTTAGTGTAATGTTGGCTGTTGGTTTGTGGAAGGTGGCTTTTATCAGATTGAGATAAAGACTATCTATGCAATCTGTGGAACTTTTGTCATGAATATCCATGGACTTTGTCATGAACGGAGGGAAACTTTTTCTGCATCTATTGAGATAATCATACGATTTTTGTCCTTGGCTGTGTTAATATGGTAAATTACATTTATGGATTTATGTATATTGAACCATCCCTGCATCCCTAGGATGAATCTCACTTGATCATGGTATACAATCTTCTTGACAGTTTGCCATGTTCTATTTGCCAGTATCTTAAGGATTTTTGCTTCTATGTTTATTAGAGATGTTGGCCTATAATTGTCTTTCTTAGTTTGGTCCTTCTCTAGGTATCAGGGTAATGCTTGCTTCCAGGAATGAATTTGGGAGAATTGCCTCCCTTTCGATTTCATTAAAGAGTTTAAGAAATAGTGGTATTAGGTCTTACTAAATTTCTTGTTGAATTCACCAGTGAATCCATCAGGGCCTTGGCTTTTCTTTGTTGATAGATTTTTAATTATATCTTTGATTTCATTAACTGATATTGGTTTATTTGCAATTTTCATATCTTCTTGATTCAGCTTTGGTAATTCATCTGTATCTTGGAATCTCTCAATTTTTTCTGTATTTCCCATCTTGGTAGAATACAAGTTTTCTTTTTTTTTTTTTTTTTGGTGGGGGGATACCAGGGATTGAACTCACAACCTTATGCTTGTGAGGCAGGTGCTTATGCTGTTGAGCTAAATCCCCAGCTCCAAGAATACAAGTTTTCTTTTTTTTAATTTTTTTTTTGTCTTTTTCGTTTTTATCAGTACCATTGATCGAACTCACAACTGCCTGCTTACAAGGCAGGCGCTTATGCCACTGAGCTAAATCCCCAGCCCCAAGAATACAAGTTTTCAAAGTAGATATACATGATCTTTTGGATTTCTGCAGGATCTGTTGTGATTTCACTCTTTACAGTCATAATTGCATGGATTTGAGTCTTTCCTTTTTTTTTCTGTAAGGTTGGCTAAGGGTTTTTCAATTTTATTTAATCCTTAAAAAAAACCAATTCTTTGATTTATTAAGTCTTTGTATTGCTTTTTAGTCTCAGATGCATTAGCTTGTGCTCTGATTTTTATAATTTCCTCTCTCATATGAACTTTTGGTTTAGCCTGCTCTTCTTTTTCTAGAAGTTTGAGATTCACCATTAACTTGTTTATATGTACTTGGTCTATTTTCCTAATACGGGTATTTATTGCTATAAATTTCCCTCTTAGGACTGCATTCATTGCGTCCCATAAGTTCTGTATATTATATTGCTGTTATCATTCAACTTTAAAAACTGTCTAATTTTGGGGGCTGGAGATTTAGCTCAGCAGCATAAGCGCCTGCCTTGCAAGCAAGCAGTCGTGGTACCGATAAAAAAACAAAAAAGACCAAAAAAAACTGTCTAATTTTTTCTTTAATTTAATCTGTGACCCATTAGTTGTTTGGCAGAGTGCTATTTAATTTCCATGTATATGAAGTTAATATGGTTCATCTTGCCATGGATTTCCCGTTTTGTTGCACTGTGGTCTGATAATATGCAGGGGATAATTTCAGTTTCTTTGCATTTACATAAGCATGTTCTGTGAGCCAGTATGTGGTCTATTTTGGAGAACATCCAGTGTGCAGTTGAGAAGAATATTCTAATGTTGTGGGGTTGTATTCTAATGTTGTGGGGTAGAGCACTCTATAGATAGCTATTAAGTAAATTCATTTAAAAGCTTGATTGAGCTCTAATATTTCTTTTTTTTTTTTAAATCAGTACCGAGGATTGAACTCACGACTGCCTGCTTACAAGGTAGGTTCTTATGCTGCTGAGCTAAATCCTCAGGTCCTAAGCTCTAATATTTCATTATTGCTATTTTGTCTAGTTGATCTGTCTGCCTATGACAGTGAGGGGTTGAGGTCTCACAATACAATTGTGTTAGGCCTTATTTGATTTTTCATGTGTTAGTAATTGTTTTATATAGTTGGGTATACTGGTATTTGTTGCACATATATTTATGATTGTTATCTCTTCCTCTTGGATTGTTCCCTTTATGAGGATGTAATGAGCTTCTTTATCTCTGTTAGTCAGTCTTGGCTTGACATCTACTTTGTCTGCTGATAGAACAGCTATCCCTGTGTTTTATGGGTTCTTATCACAGGGAGTATTGTTTTTCTATCCTTTGACTTTCAGTCTGTGGATTTCTTTTTGAATTAATGTGCTTCTTGTGTGCAGCACATTGTTGGGTTTTTCTTGATCCATTTGCCAGTCTGTGTCTTTGATTGGTGAGACCCTTGACACTGATGGTTATAACTGATATGTATTGATCTATCCTTGTCATGTTATTTTCCTGTTTTTTGCTTTCCTCTTCCTTTTTTCCTCCCTCTAATTGTTTGCCTTTCCTGGTGGACTCCTTCTGTTAGGCAATACTTTGTTTATAACTTAGGTGTTTCTTTCTCTTGCAGTTATTTTAAAAGGGCCTAAGGGTATCTCTGTGGTCACTAAAAATCTGATAGATTTTAAACTTGACTGATTTAAAAACGAGACGCTGGATGGTTGAATCCACATCTGTCCTGATGTCCTTGAGTGGAAAATGTCCCTCTTTGTGTCAATTACAAAGTGCTTATTAAGGGGTGGTGGGAGGACGGTTAGATCTTGGACACTTGTAGCAATGACCCTGTGGGTAAGGCCAGTTACTTTCTCTATGGCCACACAAGACAGGAAAACAGCATTAAGGGAAAAGATGTTTCTTGTCCATTTTCAAGACAAAATGAACAAGCATACTACCTTGGTCAGACAGGCATAGCCGTGCTACTGTCCATCTGTCATGCCCACACCTGACTTCCCGTTTCCTATGGTCCCATAAAGGTGCCTACTCAAACTGTGTCAGGCCATGTTGGAGGCACTCTAGCAGTGTGGTCAAACTAGCATTTATTCTATGGTAAGATGTCTGTAGTTAGTGGATACTCTCCATTTTCAGAGAGAAGTTGTAAACAACAGAAATGGTGTGAGTTTGAAAGAGGGAATGTCTGTTTGCAGTTATTGAGGTGTGTCCTGAAAGTGGCTTCACCCAAAAGAGGGTGTGAGGACCGAACTCCAGCCTGAGCTCCGCTTTGCCAAGCCTTGTCTTTACTGTGGGCTCTTCCTCCCAGAGGAGCTGGGTGCCTTGCATAAAGACAGCACATGGATGGGACATTGCCTACAGAGATTCCTACACAGGCCTAAGATGGGTCATTCACAGGCCATCCAGGTCAGCTGACTTTGAGGAGGGGAAGTTAAAGGCAGTTGGGGTGCCCATGAGTGGGAAAGCAATGATGCCAGTTCTTCTGGGTGCATGCTTGGAGGACACTGCGGCAGACAGGCTGTGAACTAGATGTGCACATAGCAGCATTGGTTAGGTACAGAAACAAAGTGAAGAGTGAAAAAGGGGTCTTGTGAAGACTATTATAATAAGTGTCATGAACTGAAAAGGTGGTTCCTTTAATGCTTCATATCCTGGGCTTAGTGAGTTAAAAATCCTAAGACCTGCTATTTAACACTTTACTTCACCCTGCTGTTGACTGCCAGTATGGCTCTAACAGCATGATGACAGCATTTTAATATCACTGATAGACATGTATGTCTGCCTTTACCAAACTCAGGGATGTATGATGCTATCCTGCTTTTTAAAACACTTGGAATTATCTTACTTCATTTATATTGTTTTTGAGGGGGGTGGTGGGGAGAGAGAGATTCTAGCTGTCCTGGTTTCTAGGAAATTCTATGTGTACTTTTTGCATCCAGCCATCCAACCAAGGCTGGCAGTAGATGAATTAGGGAGGATCCTTAAACATTGGAACATATCTCAGCTTTTTCAGGTAGGTCTACAACATTGAAGACTAATGTAAATAATAATAGTAATAATCTACCATTATTTACACCATCTAAAAACAATATTTGCATAAGCTAGTGCCACATTTTAGATACTCTTGAGATACTTCTTGAGCAATTTGTGTATTTTAAACTAAAACAAGGTCTAATACTCTCCAATATAGCACATGCTCGGTAAGTGTAAGTGAATGAATGACCTGTTACGTCCCTCTAGGTACCTCTTGCCCATATGCTATTAACTGTGTATTGGATTAGGTGCACCTTCACTCCTGAGAGGTCGCCACACACGAAGATACACTCTGAGTTTCACCTCATCTCAACCCCTCAGTTGTCCACAGTGTGCGCCATGGCCTTGGAAACAAGCTCCTTCCTTTCTCTCTTCCACCAGGTGTCCACCATTTGTAACATCTTTCCTGGATGGTGCAGGAAAGGCAGGCTTGACTGACCCTCCTAACCTCCAAGTGGGTCATGCCACTTGGTCTCCTGGAACCTGGCTACTCTAAGGTAGAGTCTTTTGAGCTAATACCCAATAGTGCACAGCAGAACTGACACACTGATTTCTGAGGTTGGGTCATAGAAAGTGATATGCATCTGCCTTGCTGACTGGAACACTTGCATTTGCAGCTCTAAGGTACACGTGAGACGTTTGGGACTGGGAATTGGCTCAGCTCAGTGATATATGTCTAGCATATATGAGGCTCCAGGTTCCATCCCCAGCACCTACTACAAAAAAAGAAAAAGAGGAAAGTCTGCCTGTCCTGAACTTGCCATGTTATGGAAGAGGCAAGCCACAGATAGTGGCTTTGTGTAGGTGCCCTGGCCAGCAGTGCCAGCTTTGGGGTGCTTCAGGCCAAGCACCAGACATACAAGTGAGCCAGCCTTCGGATGCTTCTAGCTCCCAGTTGTGATATCATTATAGACTGACTCTCTCCAGCCAGGGCCTTAGACAACTGGGGACAGAGACAAGCCCTACTGTGCCTTTTCTGAATTCCTGATCCATAGAAGCCAGTATATCCAACATAGTGGGGGTTGTTCCATGCTGATAAGTTTGGAGAGTTTTGTTATTACAGCGGTAGTAACTAAAAGACTCATTAATTTCAACACCACTAAGAAGTAGGTCAATAAAAAAAAAAGAGGAACTGTTAGAAGCTAGAAATTAAAAAATGATAAACTAAAAGTGACTGAACTAGAAAATAAAATTATTAACTCATGCTGCATGAATTTTAGCTATGAGATATATCAACAAGCACAAGGGGTGCTGGTTTACTCCTGACTGGCCAGAAAGTCATCTAAAGAAATGAGGTTAACTTGACTGTTGACTGAGTACTGAATGACATTAGGTATTACTATTAATTTTTAGATGTGATATAATGGTAGTTAAAACAAGTCTTTAATACAAATGCATGTAAAATATTTAAATACAAAATAACTGTAATTTGTTTCAAAATGGAGATCAAGGAGAGGTCATAAAATAAGATGCCACACATTTGATTGTTGAAGCTAGATATAGGTAATATGGGCTTATTACATTCCTATATGTACTCATTATTACATATGTGAAACTTCCCATAAGAGAAAGCTTAATAAATGGGAGTGTGGGAGGACTTACTCTCTTCTATCCAATTCTTCCAGGCTGGGGTTTTTGCTCACTGTGGCCAGCGGTTTAGACATAACATACACACGCTCCTTTCAGTGTCAGAGGTTTCTTGAGACCACCCAGGATTCGAGCCCATTGTGGGGAAATTCTCACAGCAAAGGACTAGCAAAGGAAATCATATACTTAGGCAAATGTTTAGGGCATTCTTCAAATCAGTATAATTTTTGGAGGTTAAAAATCCCCTTGATGACAGAATTATTTTTCCAGACAGTACCTAGTCCACTGCTAGGTACACAGAGGGGGCATTCTTGACACACTGATTTAAGAAACCTGATAGTTCAGGATTAACACACCAGCATACTCCTAATGTTAGGCAGTAGTCAGTTTGCAGCCTTCAAATGCATGTCAGCTGAAAGCTAGGCAAATGGGCTGCATGGTGCTACCCAGACAACACCATTTGGAAGGTCCCTCTGCCACGATTCTCTGTCCCTTAAAGAAAAACTATGAAAACTATTATCATGTAGCAGCCTACTACTCTGTGCTTCATTTCAGCTATGTCACCAAGCCCAAAATAAAAGTTCTTTTACTGCAGAGCAGAGAAGGAGGTTTAAATTTATCAATTCAAATCCATAACAAAGGGTGGCATTATATTGGCTTTGTTGGGTCCCGATTAGGGAGAGATAATGCCTGTTTCACTGGGAGAAGGCGTGATCTGACACTGGCAGGGGCGGGGACCAGGAGACAAGCTTTCCCTGTGCTGAGCTGGGCTCCTTTCCCACCCCGGCTCCCCTGCTCCCTCCTCTCCACAGTGTCACCTCTTTTAGGACATGGGAAAGCAGCTGAGCCACCAGGGAATCGGTTCCAGGAATTTCACTAAAGTTATCAGGCTGGGAACGCGTCTCTGAGCCAAGGCCCTTTTCTCAGCTCAGCTTTCCCAGGAGTCAGTGCCCTGCTACAAAATGAAACGGCAGGGAGCGATTACCTGTCTCTTATCAAATCTTCAAAAGGAATGTTAAAGTGATCCTTACTGTTGGAGAGAGTTTGGGGAAAGTGCCCTTGGGAATAGATCCAAAGGACCTCCCGTCTGTGGCTGAATCCCTAGAGAAACACTTGCACACGTATAGCAAGAGACATTTATAATAACATCATAGTAGCATTGTAGGCAAGAGCAACATTCTAGAAACAATGTAATTTACCCATCAGCAGTAAAGTGGGTGATAAACCACAGTATATGCCACACAAGGTGGTGCACAGCTGTAATCCTGGCTCTCAGAGGACTGAGGTAGGAGGACTGCAAATTCAGGGCATCATGGACTGCATAATGAGTTCAAGGCCAGCCTGGAATATACACTATGATCTTGTCTAAAAATACAAAACAAACAAAAGCAAATACATAGTCTATTCTTTGGATTATTTTACATCAGTCAACATGAACAAACTACAATGAAATGCAATTTAAGCCAAGTAATGTTAACCCTAAGTGAGAAAAACTCCTACAGGATTGCATATAACATGATGCCCTTCTTATACAGCTAAGCATGAGCATTAAAGCTGCTCTTTAGGAAGATGGGTACAATTGAACTATCAGAAAGGAAAGTGAAGAAATGGGTACAGGACTCAGGATACTTCCTTGGGTGAAGCATGCAGGGAGAGGTAGGAGGGCTGTGGTTCAGTGTTGGTTATTATCCTGGTCCTCATTTTTGCTTTGAGTTGTGGCCCTATAAGTACCAATTACCTTGTTAAATTAATAAATTTACTACCTAAATTAACAAAACAGGGTCATCCACATACCAATTATGAGACTATGTCACAGACCAAGGATTGTGTTTAATCTAATTCTGTGTACCTAATGTTAACAAAACAAAAACAGGGTGTTGCCTTGCGTGCAAGTCATTCCTAAGCATTTATCTTAAGGAAATAAATAAGAAACTTACACACATTTAAATTAATGAACAAGGACATGTATTACAGAACTGTGTGTATAAATATAAAAATAGGAAACAATCTAAGTACCAAATTAATGGATCAGTACAAATTGGGTTATATTAATAAATATGCTAGAACAGTAGGTAGTATTTGAAAAATACTATGTTCCAATAGCATCTAAATATATGGGGAAACACCCATGGTATATCATTTGACTACAACAGATTACATAACATGCATCCAGTTTATTTTTGCTAAGTATACACACACGCTCACACACATGCACACACATGTACAAACCTAGGAAGACTATACATCAAAATGATGATAGCATTTATAGCTAGATGTTATGACTGTTTCTTTTTTAAAATTGGAGTACAAGCATGGTGGCACATGCTTGTAATCCTAGCACTTGGGAGGCTGACGCAGGAGGATCACTGTGAATTCAAGACCAGCCTGAGCTACATAGTGAGTTCAAGGCCAGCTTGAACTATAAAGAAGACCTTGTCTCACAAAAAAAAAAAAAAAAAAAAGAAAGAAAGAACGAAATTAGAGTACTTCATAACTTTTTTCCTTAAAATTGGAGTAGTTCATCGATTATCACAAATAACTTTAGTATACAAATAGATGCTACTAATTGCTAAAGTAAATGGATTGTTATATGCTGACTTTTACATGGTTCCAATCTTAAAAGAACCCTATGAAGATGATATTATCATGACCTCCATATTAAGATGCCGATACTGAGGTTTGGGGGGTTAAACAACTTCTATGAGGACAAGAGATCATAAGAAATGGTGCCCCATTTGCAGCTTCTAAGAGTTCCTGGTAATTATCTTAGGTCCTTGGCAGCCAGAGGTGGCTACACCAGAATAAATAAGCTCCCTGAGAATAGTATTAGCAGTGAGTAGCCTGACATCTACACAGAGCAAGAGCTTGCCTTGGGTGTCTGAGCCGGAGCCTACACAAGACAGGAAGGTGTGATGTGAAGAGCCTGGGCACCCAAGGCCCTGGGAGTTTCCCATGATCCCTTGCGGTAAAGGCGGTCCTAGGGACTGGAGAGCTGAGAAGTTTTACCTAGGGCCCTCACTCCCACGAGGCACTGCCGGATTGCCTTCCTGAGCATGGAGAAGAGGAGGGCGCAGTAGGGATGGGACGGAGCCAGCCAGTTAGCCGCGGTCTCTTCTCATAGCTCATACTTTAAATATAAGCTCTGATGTGATAGAGGCGCCAGAGATAAAATGCCTTTCTCAAGTGAGGCAGCAGAATCTGGTATCCAATTTGGACCAGATAGTGGAAAACATACTCAAGGGGAAAAAATCTCTTGGCCTCAGCACTTGCACATGGGAGTTGAAGAATCTGACACCTTAACATTGTAGAATCAACAAATGTAGGCATGGTTTCCTATGTTTTCTCCAAGCATTAAGAATAGATATGATTTCAAAGGGAATGATTTTAACAGTTCTCCTCTTCCAGCTGAAGAATTCTGGATTATCCTTCAAGATACGACTGGAACATCAGCTTCTATGGAAATGCTTTGCCCGCCTTGCCAAGCAATAAGCCCAGCTTCACCTCTTTGGTACCTGGCTAATAAACAGCTTGTTTACCTGTTGGACTGCCTCTCTCCCTGCCAGGGCATAAGCTCACAGCGGCCTGTACACCTTTGGATTTTCTTTCTTTCTTTGTCTGTACCTCTCCCCACTACCTCTTGCCCATGTGCCTTGCCCTTATACCTGCCATGAGGTCAGTGCTAATTAAATGCTAATTGTTGGAACAGAGAGCTATGGGGATTTGAGGTAGGATCTACTAGAAATCTCAGAGCTTGGAATCAAACACTTTATGCATCTCTGACACTTGAAAAAGCTAAGATACGGAGCCAGGGATTTAGCTCAGCAGCACAAGTGCCTGCTTGGGAAGTGCAAGAGGTCATGAGTTCAATCCCTAGTACCAAAAAACAGAAAACAAAAAGAACAGCATGAGTTCAATCCCTAGTACCAAAAAAAAAAAAAAAAAAAAAAAAGTTAAGATACTTTTCCCCAAAAAAGAAGCACCTGAACAAGAAAACTGTATCCACTAGTACATATACAAATGTGTAAAAAAAAAATCTATAAAACCAGGAAATCTTAATGAGATAGGCCAATTGGATCAGTAATATCAAAGTTGGGGTATGGTACTACAGTATCCCAAAATGTTACCATAGGGACATGAATCTATGTATTGTTAAAACTACATGTGAATCTAAAACAATTTCAGTAAAGACTCCAGTTAAAAAAGCCCTATGTATGATCCTTTATGAGTTGATAGACCTGTGACCTGAGAATCCAGTTGAGAATTCCCTGTACAGCCCAGTGCCCACATCACTGAGGAAGAGAGTGCTATGCCCATTGTATTCCTTGAGTTAAAAGACAAGACAGACCAGCCCATGAGGGCCAACAGTCCCCAGGGTGGGGAAAGAACACTGAGTCTAGGTACATCGAGTCACTGTCAGAATTGCTTAATCTTGGCTTTTCATTGCTAAGGACCAGGCTGCAGGTCCTCAGACTCTGGACTGTGTCTCATTTGCAAGCCAGGCGGCTTGGGAAGGTACAGCTCAGAAGTCAGCAGCCTTTTTTTATTCTGAGTGCCAACACAGGAGACAGATAGTGCCTATGGGTTACCCCAATTAGATGAACACATGAGCAATAGAAGAGAAAGAAAGAGGGAAAAAAGACAGTGAGAGACTGTGGTATGCTATGGGGAGCAAAAATGGAGGATGATGGGTGTGTTTAGGTGGATTGGGTCTCAGTGAGGATAATAGTACCTACCTTAAAAGCATGAGGGATACGTGAATATGGGTAAAACCCTTCAAAGAACATCTGATACGTGGCACATTCTTAGTAAATACGCCCTTATTATTATTGCTATTTAATATTAATGCTATTCATTTCCTTTTTCCTATTCTCCCCAAAATGAGATAACTACTTAGCATCCTTCTCAGAACAACCATCAACTTGTAGGCACTGAATCACGTTCACTTTATTTGTGTGCATAATGTCCCCTCTTTTGTTTGGGGATGCAATTCAAACCTCTAGAATCAGAACTTAAAGATGAAAGGCAAATGAAGTGGTGCAGATCTGTAATCCTAAGTACTTAGGGAGGTTGAGGCAGAAGGATCACAAGTTTGAAGCCAAGCCAGGGCAATTTAGCATTAGCCTTTCTCCAAAAAATCACACTACAACAGGGCTGGGGATACAGGCAAGTGGTAGAATATATGCAAAGCCCTGAGTTTGATCCCCAGCACCGTGGAAAGGAACAGATAGTAATTTAAAGATGGGCCTCCCTACCTGGTATTCCCTGATGACTTACAGAACAAGCAGTCCTAGAAGGAGAGAGATTCCATCAGATAGGAAAGTGTGGTGCTATAATTTCTATCTTTGCAAATGAACCTAATATCACTGGTCAGATACTTCTAGCCTTCCAAATTTACCTGTATTGGGGGAATGAGATTTCAAACTTTTGCCTGGTTTCAGGCTAGGGCACTGGTGAACTGCATATCCAGAACATAAAGGACAATGTGTGAACAGATTTCCCATGACACTCCCTACAAAACATGTGTTCCACAGTGTTTCCAGAGTCTTTGGAGAACATTCATATGGGCTCCCCAACAAGCCCTGCATTCACAAGCCTCCGCTTGGACAGGTACCAGGGCCCCTGTGTTGTCTGCAGTCTCTGGCGCTCTCATCCTAATCTCATAGTCTCAACAATCAAGAGAGACCTAGAAAAAAAAGAGACCAGAATCACCAGAGGAGACATCTCAGGATGTAGAGCACCCAACTGGTCTTGAACAGGTAGGGTCACATGGAACCAAGAGTGCAGTCCTAAGAGCAGGGACAAGGTAGACAAAGAATGGATGAGGACACCATTGATTTGGGAGTTGGGACAGGCTGCCCTGAAGGCAGGAGCTGTGAGAAAGAAGGCAGAAAACAAAGCCTATTTGAAGTGCTCCATGAGGAGGCTGCAGGCTACATGAGATGAGAAGGCCGCAGAACTGAGACTCCCAGTGTGAGACCCTTGGGGAACATTTCTGGGCACAGTGGAGCTTTAGCAGGACTACTGGCTACATGCCCTTTAGGCCTCTGATTCTCCTGAGTTTTTTCATGTTTACCTAGTCTACACATTTTCTTTTCACAGTTTATTTATTTAGGCTTAGTTTATTTAGGTTTTTTAAAAATTCTTTTTGAGGCAGGATCTTGCTTTGTGGTTCAGGCTGTCCCCAAGCTCACTTTTTAGCCCAGGCTGGTCTCAAACTCTCAAAGATCCTCCTGCCTCAGCTTGCTGAGTGCTGGGATCACAGGTATGCGCCATGCTGCCTGGCTTTTTTTTTTTTTTTTTTTTTTTGAGACAAGATCTCGCTATGTATTTCAGCCTTGAACTCACTATGTAATTATGTAGTCCAGGCTGGCCTCAAACTCATGGTGATCCTCCTGCTTCAGACTCTTGCAGCTGCTCCTTTTCACAGTTTTATTTTTTTTGTACCAGGGAACGAACTCACAATCTCGCTCTTGCCATGCAGATGCTTATGCTATTGACCTAAATCCTGCGTCCCTTTTCACTTTTTTTTCAAAATCAGTACAGGGATCAAACTCACGACTTGCCTGCTTGCAAGGCAGGCGCTTATGCCGCTGAGCTAAATCCCCCTTTTCACAGTTTTAAAAGCAGTATGTATTCATTATAGAAAACTCAAGCAGAAAGAAAGTAAAAAATAATTCCACTCATCAGATGGAATTATTAATCCTTCATTGTGGATTTCTAAAGATTCTTATAAACATTTATAACGTTTATTAAAGATAGAAGAATACTTTTTACTTTCTGTATCAAATATACTATTAATATTCTAATATATTGTGTTAATAAAGATTTCTATAAAGGAATTTTAGTATTCATAAGGCTCACCCTCCTCCACACTGTTGAACTCTGCCTTTGATGTTAGCAGAAAAATATTTCCTTCTGCAACTAAGAATGCTATCGGGACATCATGGGCCTCACCAAGGACATGATCATTTTTCTTTTCTCTTTAGCCAAACTGCAGGAGCGGGTACAAAGGTTGGTAATGTATCTGTGGCAAAGTTCCTGGCCACAAACTTAAGCCGCATCTATAAATGTCTAACTCCAGGTGAAAGGCCACATCCCGGTAAAGCTAATTTGAAAACTGCAAAGGAGAGGAATAGGGATAGACACCAGTGAATGGCAGGGGCCTTGGGTAGGCCGAGTGGGGAAATCTGGTAGTTGGGTAGTTCTGGTTGTGCAGGCTTTCCATGGGCAGAGCCAGTAAGATATTCACTGTCCTGGACTTTATCTGGGAGCTTCTGGGTCTTAGAAGGCCTACGTGCATAAAAGGTCATCCTTCTCAGGTGTGGCGCCTTCAGATACAGGATTCTGAACTGACAGGAGCATAGGAGTGACCAGCTGTGCTGACCCTTGGGTTTATTCCTGAGTGACTATCCAATAAGTCTTCTAAAGTCTGCTGATGACGAAGGAAGAGGGCATGTTACTTCCTCCCCCATTCCTACTTCCTACTATGGCTTTGTTTCTATGTTTCTGGTATCTCTATATCCTAAATTCTACCCAAAAATCTGTGTATATTTCATGGCAAACACTGAGGGATTCTAATTGGCATTAGGATTTAAAATTATAGCCTACTTAGAAACTATTATAAAACCATATAATACTTACTAGATATTTATTAGATACTGTTTTGGTCTTTTACATTTAGAATTTCAGTGAATTTTTAGAAAAATATAGTTAAGACAGTTATTTCCACTTTTTAAATGAGAAAGCTGAGACTCAGAAAAGTTAGGTAGCTCGCCCACCTTAATGTATTTAAACATTTTCAGAATGGGAATTAAAACCTGGGTTTGCAGATGCCAGAGCCACTTCTTATCAAGGCGCCAACCTCTGTCTCAGTAAGTTCTGAAGTTAGGAAATTGGAGGGAACAACTGCAGCAATAAGTCTAGCAAAATAAGTCTAGCAAGGTCAAGAGAATTGCTGACAAATAAAATACATCGCATTCCTTTTCCGTGTTGAATGTCAGTTTTTATATCTTAGCTAAGGGTGCCTATTTTACAGCTAGTTGCTCAAGGTACCCTTCACCTACCCCACCCCCGTCGTCAGATGATTTTTATTTATAGTCGTGTTTAAACATCATGGGCAACTCTGGGACTTGCTGTATACTGAATTTGCCCTCTGAGCAAACATTCTTTCTTGAAGTAAAGGTGCTTTATTTACTTTGTTTGTTGCCAAGAAATTAAAGGACAATTTTTTTTTTTTTTTTGGTTTGCTTCAGAATGTTTGTTCCAAGTATTCCTTCCCCTCTAGTATGTAAATAATTCAAATCAGTGAAGACCAGATTGATCAAATTCAGCTTTCAGCTCCATTGGTTATTTTGAGTTCTGTAGAGTAAGAAAATACTCTGGATCTCTCCTAGAGAAGATATTCTGATTAACATAGTTATGTACTGCTTATAGACATGTATGCTTTACCTCACTATCTGAATGCTAATAAGAGCCTCTTCCTAGAATTCATTCCTTAAGAAGTCATGACATTTAATTATTTGGCAGGATGTTTTAAGTACATATAATTAGAACTTCCCTCCATTTCAGTGGCGAGCCAAGTAATCTGCATCAAGAGAAAATAGCACCTGCATTAATGCTACCAACAAAGAGCTACACTGTGTTGCAAAAACCCCGCATTACAATCCCAGCACTTAGTGGGTGTTCAGTACTTTTTAATTTACTGAACTAACATCTCTGCAGATGAAAGAAATTATATTGCCCCTGCTCCGTGTTTCATTCAGTCCATAGGACAGCCGAGCAGCTGTGGATGAGGTCTCCGGAGTGGGAAGTGTCAAACGCTGACGCTGGGCGGGCAAGTCTCTTTTTCTGAGTGCATGGCTGCTTGCCTTATCAAGTAGGATCAATTCTTACAGGGGTGCAGGGAAATGGTGAAGAATAAGATAAGGGAGCACACTGACTGTGTAGAGACCAAGTAATGTTTTTCCTTCCTTCATTCCACAGGGTCCTAACTCTCACTTTCTTATTTGGGGACGTTAACTGCACCATGGGTTCAGAATTGGAGCTAAAAGGACTTTTCCCCGGGCTGGTTAAATTAAGTATATGATAAGCTTTCTGGAGGAGCAGGTCTTGGCACACCAATGGGAGGTACAAAGGAAAAGCAGATACAGTCTTCAGCTGGGGAGGCCAAGCAAGTCAGTCTTGCCAAGCAGGTTGTCTTAGATGAAAGAGAATTTTTCAGTCCCACCACTGGAAGTTGAAGCCACAGGGCCTTCTTCAGCCTGTAGGAAGCGGGGCGACCTCCGAGCTGCAGAATGAGACCTCTCCTTCAGAGCATCACACAAATGCTTCATGTGGTGGGGCAGACTGCGACCGAGGGCAGGGACTTAAAAGACATGCAATCAGGGTTCTGCGTTAGCCCTTGTTCTTTATGCTGTTGGGTATCGCAGTCTCTCCCCGCCTACTCCAAACATTTTCCAGCCAGTGCTGCTGTTAAAACAGACTCTATCAGGGCGGGATTTTATTTATATATACATACATGTAAATGTATATATATATATATATATATATATATGTATCTTTTATTTTTGTCTTTTTAAGACAGGGTCTCGCTATGTAGTTCAGGCTGGCCTTGGGCTCACTTTGTAGCCAGGGTGGTCTCGAACTTGCATCCCAAGTGCTGGGATGGGAGGTGTGCGCCACCTTGCCCGGCTAACCCCAAATATTTCTGTAACTGGAGGGGCACTAACTACAAGGTGAAAATCTTCGCAAACCTTAAAGAGACCGAACTAGACCAAGGTCCCATCTCTAGGGTACCCGGTCCTTCGAGACGCCCCTGAAGAAAGCAGGCCGGGGCGGCCGACGCCGGGGAATTGGTCTGGAGGAAGCGGACGCGCGAGGAGCGGAAGGGCGACAGCGCAGGAGGCGGGGTTCCAGGCCACGGGGACAGGCCCCGCCTAAGCCGGACAAGGTGTGGCCGCGCACAGGTGCGCCGCGCGCCTCCGCCCACGGGTGACCTAATTACACGGTGCCGGCAGTGCCCGGCGGCGGAGGCGGGCACTCCCGACCAGGCGCCCGTCCCAGCCCCCAAAGGTGCGGGCATTCCACACGGAACAGCTGTGGGGTCGCAGTTCTCGCTTCCGTGACCCGGTGCCCGCCCCCAGGTGAAGCGCTCACGCGGGTCCGCAAAACTGCCTTCCGGAGCGAGCAAGGTTCCTGCCGCCTGGCGCCCCCTCCCCCTGCCGCTCCACTTCTCTGCGCCTGCGCGGGAGGTATTGCTCGCAGATCAGCCAGGTTCTGGTTTCGAGTACTGCGCCTGCTCGGATTCCGTTCTTTCCGCCCCCGCGACCCCGCCCTTCTAAGGGACCACGCCCCAAAAGCGAAGGCTTCTCAGTCACCAGCTGGCTACGCTGCGCCAGCGTTGGGTTCTTCAGTGTGCGTCCCTTCTCCGACCCAGCGGCCGACCGCGGCCCGTTCTGAGGTTGCGCAGTCCGCGTCCCTGCCCCTTCTTTCTCAACCGCCTCGGCTCCCCGCCGCCTCCTGACGCCGGCGTGACGTCACCACGCCGGGCGGCCGCCATTACAGGGCCGAGCTCCAGAGCTAGGGCGAGCTGAGGAGGAGGCGCAGCCGCCGGTGGCCGAGCAGTGTGGGGAGAGCCAGCGGGCCGGCGTTATCGCCCAGCGACCGCCGGGGACCACAGAAGCACCCTAGGGACCGGTGGCGGCGCGTGCGTGTGGCCCGGGTGCGGGCGGCGGCGCGGGAGCAGCGCGGAGCGGCAGCCGGTTCGGGCGGGTGGCATCATGGACGAGAAGGTTTTCACCAAGGAGCTGGACCAGTGGATCGAGCAGCTGAATGAGTGCAAGCAGCTGTCCGAGTCGCAGGTTAAGAGCCTCTGCGAGAAGGTGAGCTGTTTTCGAGCTCCAGGAACCGCCGCGGGCCGGGCCCGCCGAGGAGGTGGCTGTGGGGAGGGTGCAACATGGCGGAGCCGCCGGCCGGGCCCCCGGTTCCTCGCCGGTCGACGCCCGGCCCGCCCCGCGGCGCCTCCCGCGCGGAGATTGGTTGTCGCTGCCACCGCCGCCTAAAATGGCGCCGTTCGGCAGCTCTGGGGCTCCGAGCTCTGCTCGGGCGGGGTGGCCGGGGGAGTCGGGACCCTGCGTGTCGGGGCGGGGACCCGAGTGAGATCCGGCTGCAGGGCTTGGGCTCTGCTGCCCAGGAATGAGGCCTGGGCTTGGGCCTGTACGGCGGGCTCGGGAAGAACCCCCCTCTTGTGGTCAGGCCTAATTTAGGGGCCAGCGTGGCCAGAGAGTCCCCCCCGAAGACTGGCTGGTGGACGGATGCCAGGACCGACGTTAAGGGCGCACAGCTGTAAAACCACTTCAGGTGGTTTGTGTTAAACTCACCGAGCAGCCGTCTGCGGAGACCTACTTAAAAAGTGTCTTTTTAAAAATTACAAAATAGGCTGCTAACCTATTTTCTGCGAAGGTCACGATGGTAGTTACAAGGAAGGAGTGTAACTTACGTTTCGTAGTTGGAAGACATGGAGAATTTGGTGAGTCATACTACATAAGGAGCTTTTGGTTTGGAATTCCAAGTGTTGGTTTGATTTATGATTTATATGCTGACTCAGATTGGGTAGTAGGAAACCCTTCTCTACGCTAGCATACCTGGCGTTGTGCCATTTATTTTTAGAATGAGAATCTAGGAGTGTGTCAGATTTTGTATTCTCGCTTCTTGTGGAAAAGTTTCTCGACTGTATTTTTGTGACCACAAATAGATGTTGTAATAATCACTACATATTGATCTCTGACTGTATTTGGTACTGAAAGTGTTCTGTTCGCTTAATACTACTAAGCTTTGTTTTGTTTCTTTAGTTCCTTTTTTTCCCTCCCTCTGGAGGTTGGGGATACAGGTAGTCTGTTAACAACTGTTTTATTTTTTTTATTGTTGTAACTCGTTTTGTGAAGTGTGTGAAACCTGCATCTCCACTGTGAAGAATGAACTTCGTTTTTCACAACTGAGTTTGTGGCATTTCATTTTACTGCAGAATTGTGGGGTGTTTGTATTTTGTGTTGGAGTTTTGGGAAGCTATTGTGCTCACTATTTGTGGTTTGATGTGAAACTTTAGGTTCGTGAGTGATACATATATTCCCAAAACGCACTTTTTCAGAAATTGTGTTAAGATCAGTTGGAATTTTGACCGCCTTTAGTCTCTGCATTTGGGAGACTGAAGCAGGAGTATTGCTACAATTCAAGGCCAGCCTAAGTTGTGTAAGCAAGACCATGTCTGTAAAAATAAACCAAAACAAAATTTTTTTAAAAAGTGAACAATTGGAATTTAAATTATATTTAGATTATACCAAGCCTAGACAAAACACTCAGTACTGCTAAAAGGGGTGACTTATCTGTTGGACTTTTTTTTTAATGCTACTATGTATCAAGCCTTCTGTTTCTTGACCTTTAATTCTCAACATCCTGTGAGGCTGATACATTAAAAGTTAAGATCTTTAAAAGGCCTTTAAAATTTCTACCTGTTTTTTGCTTAATATATAGTTTTACTTGTTTCTTTTTATTTATAGCTATTTTTTTGTTTTTGTTCTTTGTGCCAGGTTCTTACTATGTAGCCCAGACTTGAATTTGGGGCAATCCCGCCTCAGCTTTCCAAGTGCTGACATTACAGGTTTATACCACCATGCCAGCTTGTTACCATAAAGTTCAAAAGTATGGATATGATTCACATTATAGCTCTTTTGGACAACAGATTGGGGTCCTCAGCCTGGGTACCATTGACATTTGAGGCGGGAAACCTCTGTTGTAGGCCTGTCTTGGGCACTGTAGGGTATTTTTCAGTGTCCCTGGAATCTTATCTGGAAGAGATCACTTTTTCATCTGGGTTTTATTTTGTTGAATTGAGATAGGGTCTTTTCTTTGTAGCTCAGGAGGGCCCCAAATTTTTGATGCTCAATTTTTAATATATTTTGCCAGGTCTTAATTTCTAGGTACTATAAATGATGGTTTTACTTTTGGTTTTTGAGTCAATAGTTAGATGGATGAATAGTGATTTTGTGAAGAAAACATTGAAAAGAGAAGTAATGATGTAATTGGGAGACTGCTGACTGAACACTGGTCCTTTTTCTGCTTCTAAGTAAGTTATTGTGATTGACTTTGGGCAATCACTTGGTCTTCATATTTCTGACTTAATTACAGTAGTTATATTCTGAGATCATTTCTAATCTGAGAAACGTGATTGTCTTAAATTTGTACTTTGTGTTTAAATATTGGACACTTAATTGAATACTCCACATTTTGCATGCTCTTCTGGGGGGAATGAAAAACAGTGAAAATCAAGCATATTCTCAAGAAGCTTGGAATTTAACTGGAAAGACAAGCATGGTAGGAAATAAGTAGGTAATGGACCATGGAATTAGAGGGTTTGCCTTGGATGCTGGAAGATAATATTGGATGCTAAGGTTAATGGGCCCAGCATTATTGTTTGCCACATCTTTGTAAAAGTGAGATGCAGTGAGGCTCATCAGTTATCTCCACTGTTGACTTCGTGTGTCCACATCTTAGTCTGAGAGCCAAAAGGATTGAAACTGGGTATTACATGAAAGTTTCCAGTTTTGAAGTAGATCCTTTTTGTTGAGTACCGTTATGCAACTTCATATAATGTTTTTAACTATTTCAACTTTTGAAACTGTATAAACCTTACAAGTGAAATTAATTTGAAAAGTTTTTTTAGTTATTTTAGTTTGGAATACCTGGCTGGATAGCTTTTGTACAATCCTCTAGTAAAACAAAGGTTTTCTTTTTACCATTAATATTTTATCATCTAGTGGCATCTCTAAGTCAAAGTTTACATGTAGTCTTTGGTATAATTGCCTTCTAAATAGTAATTTTGAAAATACCGAGTTGAAATGTTTTCATTAGTACATAAACTTTTTTTTTTTTTGTCTTTTCCTCTCTTTTTATTGGTACCAGGCATTGAACTCATGACCACACACTTGCAAGGCAGGCACTTATGCCGCTGAGCTAAATCCCCAGCCCCCCCAAGATTAAAATCTTACACGAAATGAAGTACATAAACTTATTAGAAATAACTACTTGATAATAGTTTCTAACTTAATCACAAGGACAAACAAGAACACAAAAATCCTGCTCTAAATGAAATGTTTAAATAGTAAAGATAAAAACATACCAGAAGAGAGACTTGTGATTGAAACATCCTGAGAATATGATTTTTGGTTTTTTTATCAGCAATTAATAAGTGTTCAAAATGAGAAGGAATCCAAGAATGTGTTAGTAGACAAGAGTGGAGCATGGTGACCCGTGCTTGTAATTCTATTACTCTGGAGGCTGAGAAATAATAATCTTGGCTAACCCCGCATTGAGTTTAATACCAGCCTGAACTACATGGTGATACCCCATCTTAAGGGGAGGAAAAAAAAAAAAAGATGAGTAAACATGGTTTTTTGTTACTGACTAGTTAGAAGATTTTAAGCTGCGACTAGATATGTCAAAGCCAATTTTTGAGGCGTTTGTTACTTAAAACTTTGGAGAGCAAATGTAGTTTAAATTGGCCAGATTTGTTTCCAACTACAAATTGAAAGAAATACACAGTATCAAATTGCTTTTCCACTAACTATGGTAAATAATGTTTATTATGGGACTTTAACTTGAGTATGATTTTGGCTTTGTGCCGTCAGGATCTTCCCAAACATGTGTTGTTTGACAGCCAATTTTTTTCAAAGGAGTTCTTTACCTGTGTATGCAGTTTTCCATTGCTCTACAAGGACTATAAAAATACACTCAGTAAGGCTTCAGTTAGTTTTAACATTTGTTAAAAGTAGGGGAAAAGCAAACAACTTAGAACCAAAAAATACTTGACCAAGATTAAAGTCTTTTTTTTTTTTTTTTTTTTCTTTTTCCTTTTTATCGGTACCGGGGATCGAACTCACGACTGCCTGCTTTTTCTGAGCTAAACCCCCAGCCCCCTATAGTTACTGTTCTTAGTTGTACACCTGACCGAGTACTGGGAAAGGGAAGCTGACTTGACATTAGGAGTTAAAATGAGGTTACTGGGGGTAATGGATTCTAATTCTAGTGGTCTTATATTGCTTCACAGGTCCCGTGGTTTTTTTTTTGTTTGTTTGTTTTGTTTTGTTTTTTTTCAGATCCCCTATTTTGAGGTAAAGTGAATGAAGAATAGATGAATTGGGGTCAAACTGAATTATGAAATCAACAATTTTGTAAAACGAAGCACTATTATCATTCCTACTCCTTGAAAGGTTCTGTTCACATCAGATAGAAATATTATGGTGCCTCTTTGTCTTGGAAAGAGTAATTGTTGTTGTGTTTTGAATGTAGGTAAATATATTTACCCCTGAAATCAAGTTGCTGAGATGAAAAACCTAGGTCATTGTTTGTCTTCCTAGCCATAAATCGTAACCCAGAGGCTGAACTATAAGATATCATAACATGTAACTTTCATACTGTCATGCAGCTTATAAAATACGTTTTTATCCTCATAATTCCAAAGGGTGTGTGTGGGGAGTGTGATCTGAGCCATGAAATGGTAGTGCAATTTTGGGTTAACAAGAGAAAACAACAGTGTTACTGACATACATAGGTACCCAGCCCTCGCTGTTTTCTTTATCTAGGTCTAAGACTTTTATGTCTTCAGAAGTTGGCAGCAAGGTGAAACTCATGCGGTGGAGAAAAAGGATAGGCTCTGGAGGAGTAATGGGGTAACATTTAGCTCCTCTGTTTTATAGCAGAGGATCTGTTTGCTTTTTCACTCTTGAGTTTGACTTCTGTGGGATGCATCCTTGGTTTGGTTTGCAGGGGACCAGCTAGGAAAGTCCAGGAGACTGAGTTTGGTTTGAAGTGGTGATGAGTCTATAAT